GACCCTGCTCCTATGATGCTGCTTGGCCTGCTGTGTTCATCCAGCTCTACACCTTGTTATCTGAGATTCTCCAGCATCTGCAGTTCCTACTATCTCTCTCCAGTAGACCAATATAGACTGGTTAAGTCAGTCAGCGAAAACATGGCACATGGCATATCACATGGGAAAATATGAAGTTGTTCATTTTGGCAAAAATAAGACTATCATTTAAATGGAAAAGAACTGTAGAATTTTAAGGCACTGATGTATCTAGGTGTTCTAGTGCATAAGTCACAAAACATTAGAATGCAGATATGGCAAGTGGTTAAGGCAGCTAATGAAATAATGAAAACCAAAAGAACTGCGCATGCTGTAAATCAGGAACAAAAACAGAAGCTGCTGGAAAAAAGTCAGCAGATCTGGCAGCAGCTGCGAAGAAAAAAAATCAGTTAATGTTTCGGGTCTGGTGACCCTTCATTAGAACTGATGGTAGCTTGGAAAACATCAGTTTATACGCAGCAGATAGAGAGGGGAATGGGTTAGGGAGTAAACGATAGGATAAAGGATAAGGCCCAAAGAGAGAAAAGAGCAACTGGATATACAAAGGAGTTGATAACAATATGTACTGTGTAATGGCAGACTATGTGATAACAAGGCCTGGTGTGTGTGTGGTAGGGGGCTAGGACATGGGAGATTTTAGGCCCTAAAATTATTGAACTCAATATTGAGATTGGAGGGCTGCAGGGTACCCAAATGAGGTGTTGGTCTTCCACCTTGCATTGAGCTTCTCTGGAACACTGCAGCAAGCCTGAGACAGAGATGCTGGCCAGGGAACAGGGTGGTGTGTTAAAGTGGCAGGCAACTGGAAGCTCAGGATCACTTTTGTGAGCAGAATGTAGATGTTATGCGAAGCGGTCACCCAGTCTACACTTCGTTTCCCCAATGTAGAGGGGATCACATTGTGAGCAGCGAATGCAGTAGACTAGGTTGTGGTAAGTGCAGGTGAAATGTTGCTTGGATATTGGGGAGAGAGGTGGTAAGTGAGCAAGTGTTACATCTTTACTGGTTGCAGGAGAAGGTGCTATGGGGATTTTAGGAGTGTTGGGAGTGAAGAAAGAGCGGACCAGGGTGTCCGAGAGGGAACGGGAATGTGTGTCCGGTGGTGGCATCTCACTGGAGGTGGTGGAAATGGTGTCTGATGATCTTCTGGATGTGGATGCTGGAGGGGTGGTAGGTAAGGACGAGGGGAACCCTATCGCTGTTGCGGGAGGGAAGAGAGGGTGTGAAGGCGCAAGCGTGGAGATAGGTCGGACTCGGTTGAGGGCCCTGTTGACAACAATGCTGGGGAATCCTCAGTTGAGGAAGGTGGTGGGCATTTTGGAGACTCCCTCATTGAAGTTGGCTTCCTCTGAACATATGCAATGGAGACAGAGCAACCGAGAGAATGCAGTGGAGTCTTTACAGGAAGCAGGGTGTGAGAATATACAGTCCAGGCAGCTGTGGGAGTCAGTGGGTTTATAATGGATATTTGTGGCCAGTCTATCTCCAGAAATGGAAACAGAGATGTCGAGGAAGGGAAGGGAAGACTCAGAGATAGACCAGGTGAAAGTGAGGGCAAGGTGAAAATTGGAAGTGAAGTCGATGAACTATCCCAATTCCAGATGAGAAAGGGAAGCAGCACTGATGATATCATCGATATGTCGGAGAAAGAGTTGTGGGGGAGGGCTGGAATAGGACTGGAATAAGCAATGTTCCACAGACCCCAACGAAGAGACAGGCATAACTGGGGCCCATGCAGTTACCCGTGGCCACTCCTCTGACCTGAAGAAAATGAGAGGAGTTAAAAGACAAGTTGTTGGGGGTGAGGACAAGCTCAGCCAAGCGGAGGAGGGTGGTAGTGGATGGGGATGGTTCAGGCCTTTGCTCCAGGAAGAAGTGGAGAGCCCTAGGTTCATCCTGGTTGGGGATGGGCGTGTAAATGGATTGCACATCCATGATAAAGAGGAGGCAGCTGGAGCCTATAAACTAGAAATGTTGAAACTGACGTAAAGTATCAGAGGAATGATGGATGTACCTGGGCAGGGACTAGGCCAGGGGAGAGAAGACAGAATCAGGGTAGGAAGACAGGAGTTCCATGTGGCAGGAGCAGGCTGAAACAATGGGTCTGCCCAGACAGACCTATTTGTGGATTTTTGGAAGGAGGTAGACCTGAGTTGCGCGTGACTGGGGGTGGGGGAACTATCAGCTTAGAGGCAGTGGTGGGGGGGTCGGGGGTGAGATCACCAAATGAAATGAGGTCAGTTACCATAGTTGATACAATGGCCTGATGTGTCATGGTGGGGTCATGGTCCAGGGGAAGATAGGAGGAGGTATCTGAGAGCTGGTGCTGAGCTTTTGCACTGTAGGGGTCAGTATGCCAGACTACAACAGCACCACCCTTATCAGCAGGCTTAATAACAAAGTCAGGGTTAGACTGAAGCACAGAGTACAGCCAGTTTGGAGGGAAATAGGTTGGTTTTGGTGAGAGGGGTGGGGAAGAGAAATAGAAGTGACCAATATCACGTCAACAGTTCTCAATGAACAGATTGAGTGCAGGTAAAAGGCTAGAGGGAGGGGTCCAGGTGGAGATAGTGTTGGAACTGGGCAAAGGGGTCTGTGGGATGGGGAGAGGACTCTTGTCCAAAGAAATGGGCATGAAGGTGAAGATGGTGGAAGAGGAGTTCGATATCACTTCGGGCTCGAAATTCATTAAGTTGGGTCGCAGAGGAATAAAGCGGAGACCTTTGCTGGGTAAAGTATCTTCACCATCGGACAACAGAAGGTTAGGTGGGATGCTGAATACCTGACAGGAGGTGGGGTTCGGGGAGGGGATGGAGTCAGAGAGAAGGGGAGGGGAAGAAGGTTCCAGAGGGCCATGGGTATCTCCGAGTTGTTGCATCTTGTGGGCCTTGGTGCCTGAATAGCGAATGCACGTTGAATGAGCCGGAGGATGAAGTCGAACTGTGGAGTGGTGCAACCCTGAGCCAGAGTGTTGCGATGCTGTTGGAGAGAAAGGTCGAGTGTGTGCATGTGACGCCACATGGCACCGAGTGTGGATCTCAGGGTGCAGCAAGAACAGCTGTCTGTGGAACGTTGAACGTTACAGAGATATCCGTGATCCTGGGAGGATTCAAAATATGAGGAATGAAACTTCAATTGGAATCCACATTGAGAGAGAGAGCTAGAGGCAGTCACTGAGTAATGTGATATGGCTGTGGAAACGAGTTTCAGCAAATACTTGGTCAAACACCAGGAGTGACAGTGAAATTCAAGTCGGTGGGCAAGAAGAGAGATTGGAATGGAAATCCCGTCGGAGAGAGGAGCAGAACTTCTTCA